GCATAATGCCTTTCTTCAAGAGAGGTGCCCTTATAAGGGCCCTATCAAGCCACCCGACCCAAACGCCCGCCCGCCCACAAATGGACGACCGTTCCTGACGCTCTAATCGATTCATTTGCTAAGCAAATTATGAAGCGAAGGGATTGGTATGAAGCGGCCGTGATGCTGCATGGATATATGAGTACACATATGCAGCCGTACCTTTGGTAGCGGTCATCGGCAAGAATGGTTATTGGCAATATGCCTTCGTTCTCAATGTGTTCAAAATTGATTTTGAACACTGAGAACGGAGGCTCTTTCTTCGCAGGATTTTGACCGTTTCACTCCGTTCTTTCGCCATTTCCCCCACTATATAGCGCCCTACTAGCATTTTAGGCCGAGCACCAAATCATCGTGCCAGCTGCCTTTAAAGCAATATCTCAATCTGCCCGAATGATTGCCTTGGAGGGATGTCATAACCTTGTCCGGTTACAGGCTAAATGATATTCAGTCATTTATCCGGACAATATCATTCACCCGGTTCCTCTGGAAGGAACGACATCATTTTTCCTATCTAGTAGTTCTGAACGTCCAGGTGACCTCTAACGAAAACGGCGTCTCTTTCCCAAATCGAATTTTCCCATGAGCGCTCATCATTTCAACATTAATACCAGAAAATCATCCTGCAAGCGCTTTGTGGATGGCGCTAGCAGACAAGGACTTTGGTTGTCCTTATTTCATTCATACTCTAGGCTGATTTTGTGGCCTCTGTATAAGTGGAACTGACTGTGCTTTAACGGCCGTTCCGCTTATATACCACGTGTTTTGAAAAAGACAATGAAGTAATGTGTAATCCGAGATTTTATCATTCGCGGAACTTTCGGGGACCCATTCTTTCTGACAAATTTCAAAAATTGTTATTCATGGGTTGCTATGGCGAACTGAGGATGCACGCCGACTTGGAAAAGGCATATGCAGCCGTTGTCCGTGTCATCTCTGCAGCCTGTCCTTGGGAAGTGCGTGCCATTCATGCTCCGCACTGGGATCCACTGGATATGCCTTTTGTTGGCTTGACCTGGTTGTGCTTGGTTTGCGGGTTTAGGGGACAGGACCTAAAGACACGCTCCACTATTGCACGCAATGCAGTCTCAGGGTGATTTTGCAGGTGCATTGAATTCCTTTCGAAAAAAGATAGCTGACGAAATTGTTGGGATCGCCCCAAATAGTAGCCGGTTGATTTTCAGTAGTGTACGAGTACGCGGCGGAAGCGGAAGGGGACCCACAGACTCATAGCGAAAGGGGCAAAAAGAAGGTGTTTTTTGCAACGAAACGCACCAGTTGTACGCTCAGAAGCATTTGTGTTGATTAAAGGCAGTGGGCATGATTGCTGGGGGCGGGCAGTTGTCGGTTCGCACCGGCGTCATTGGTGGAAGGGCTGCGGGAGGGTTCTGGCGGCAACAAGCCAGCCTCCGAACACTGCCTGAAGGAGTTTCACAGCAAACGCGAAGGGTTCTAGCTGCCTCTGTTGGCGCCGCATTTCGCAGAGACATCTCTCTCTCTCTCTCTCTTCCTTGTGGCTGTAGACCTGCGCTTCTCGTGCCGGAAAGAATTCCGTCTCTGAGGTGATCATAGAGTGCGTCAAGGGAATCTAAGAGAGACTGAGGGGCGAATTCGTGGGTCGCCTCTTTTTTTTGTTGAGATCTAGCTGTATCCACTTGCTTCGAGACACCCTGCCTGAAATAGATCGAATTCCCCTGCAAGGCATGAGTACTGTGTTCGGAAGAAGCCCCATGGATATTAAACTAACGTTCAGCAAGGAGTATTGTATAATTGAGTTTTAAATAACAAAAAAAGTAAATGATGTAATCACCCTAAATAGTGTCTTGGAATCACCAGAAGGCACCCTAATCTTGGTGAGGTAGCATCCCCACCAGCTGAAGTAACCCTCTGAAATTTTATTGATGGATTATTTAGCTAAATTAGCCAGAAAATTCAGTACAATTTGATATGGGTAGTTCAAGAGTCGTGATGCTCTTCTTCTCATATCTTCAGTTTCCCAGGAGAAGTGTTACCAGAGTCGCTTTTCCACCATCGGCATACTTCACTAGTTCACAGCTTCAATTGTTTTTGCCAAAGTACACTGCCTAGATATTGACCATGCCATGAGTTTTGTCGTATTTCTCGTGCCTTATACCGGCCGCCCCCCCCCCCTCTTTTTTACTTCAGGGCAGCCATTCTGGTCGGAAATCTGGGTCAGCCTACGGCTCGTGAGTTGTGCCGGGGTCTGGGGATCATCTTCATGACTTTGATCCGTAATATATTTTCTTTTAGTATTATTCAAATGTCTCATATTCAGGTATCGAAGCGCAAAAGAAGGAGCACGACGAGGGATGTTGAAATGGAGGAATGTGGTAGCGCAGGGGCAACAGAGGAACTTGGGAACAGTGAAGAAGCCTCCCCACGACGAACTAAAAGGTCAAAAGGAGAGAAGGGTGAAATGCGTAAGGTGAAGTCTTCTCTTATCGTGACCTTCATCAACAATGACGGTAATTATTCATTGCTAATGTATTTCTTTTCGAGATTCCTGTACCGAAGCATCGTTACACTCCGCTGAAAGATAACTGGGTCAACATATTCACACCGATTGTCAAGAATTTAGGACTGCAAATAAGGTGTGCAGGTTGAACATCTGTTATGTTTTACATATACAAATATATATGTTCACATATGCAAATACTTAGATACTTGTAGGTTCAATATGAAAACGAGAAACGTCGAAATAAGAAATCCCGAGAATAAAGAAGATACTACGGATCTACAGAAGGTAATGTGCCACAAAAGTTTCGAGGTGTCAAATTAATTTCCTCCTGATCCTTCAGTCCATAAATCCTGCTGTAGTTATTGTTATGGTGCTGCTATAGTTATTGTTAGTGTGCTAATTATGGGTTCGAGAAATGCATTAATTTTCAAAGCCGAATTAACGAATTTTACGTCCATTCTAAAATTTTCACAGGTTGAGCGGAGAACCCAATAGTGAGCGAGGCTATACTAAGTTTTAGAGTTGGCTGAGAATGACGTAATTTCAATAAATTCCCACAGTGGTAGTGGGCGGAGTTTAACGGGCGGAGCTCGACCGTAGTGGGCGGAGCCCGACCGTAGTGGGCTGAACCAGGTGTAAGGGGAAACTAAAATTCGAAACTTTCGAAAAAAATGAAATTGCGCAAAAAGTGGGCGGAGTTTGATTGTAGTCGGCGTAGTGATGTGTACATACTAATGTTAGAGTGACAGTTATAGGTTCAAAATGAGCATTTAATGTTCTGTGCTGAGTAAACGACTTTCTTTAATCGAAATTGTCCGTTTACCAGGGTATGTAATAGCCTTTCTAGGCAGCTGATTTTGTACGTGCTTTTGTGCTAGGATTCGATGTTGCTGATGCTTTAGCGCTGATTCGACTTGATCATCTATTCCTAGAGACATTTGAGGTGAGACGATGAACTGCTGCACCGTTTTGTAAATGAGTCTCAAACTTGAGTGATTTGCAGGTGGCTGATGTGAAGTCATCATTGAAAGGCGATAATCTGAGTCGAGCCGTGGGCAGAATAGCAGGGAAAGATGGAAGAACGAAACTTGTTATAGAAAACGTTACGAAAACCAGGATAGGTTAGCTTATTTCATTTACAGTCCTCATCATTGCGGACTGTTGGGGCGGCTGAGCCGTGCTCCACTGTGACGCGAATAGCGGCTGCGGCTCGGTGACCGGCGAATACAGCTGATTTACTGGAATTTCGCTGCGAAGTTCCACTTTGTTCAGCCTCGCAAGCTTTGAAAGTGGAAGGTGAGTTATTCTGAACAATTTTGAATTGTACTGGCTCTGAATGAATCTGAAAGAATGCAAGCCATTTGAATAAATGCCTGAAATAAGGCAAAATACAAGGAAAAGAGCATAATAAAAAACCTAAAAAAAGGAAATTAGAGCCAGTACAATTTAAAATTGTTTAAAATGACTCACCTTCCACTTTAGAAGCTTGAAGAGCTGAAAAAGTGGGAATTTGCAGCCGAATTCCATCGAAATCAGCTGATTCGCCGTCACCGAGCCGCAGCCGCTGTCGCGTCACAGTGCAGCGCAGCTCAGCCGCCCCGACAGTCCGCAATGATGAGGACTTATATGCCTTCAGAGGATTTTGCGCGCAGTCTTCGATTAAGTTGTGCTGTAGTTATTCCAAAGTACTGTTACTGAGTCACTCTCTTGTTACTGACTGCTGTAGTTTGTAGTTAATGGGTTTGGTTTCCCGGTTACACCGTTCACTTACCCAACCTTACCGGGTTACTCTCGAGATTCCCTTCTTGAAGGTGATTTTCCACCTCCACCTATTGTACACCTATTCCACCTATAATACAGAGTACATGTCGCAGTGGAGCGCGATGAGAAGGTAAGAGTATGAAGGAGGCAGGGCACGTCATACGTTGGGGTCGCCAGCGAGGGGGGGGTCGTATTAGATGGGTGAAGAGGGGGGGGAGTATTCGCCTCTGAGAAGTTTGTTGTTTTAGGTTGTTGCCTTTGCTCGGTTTTTTTTTCTCTTTCAAGTGCGCTATCAACCCCCTGCCCGCTCCGGCTCACCTTTCCTGCTGTCGGTGTAGTTTTTTTTGGAGGAAAATTAGTGGGACGAGGAAATTTGGAAAGGAGGAAGGGAAGGAAACCAGGAATATGGTAGTAGGATGGGATGGGGAAGGGAGTGATATTAGAGGAGGAAGTTCTGCAGGAGGGAGGGGGGCTCGTATTTTGCACCTATTTCCTCAACGGCAGAACGTGATCTGGAAGGATTATCAGTCAGAGTGTATAGAGGAACACCTTAGGTCAGCGTGGCTGTACGTCGCACTAAACTCACACGGATGGCGTAGAACAGGGTAGCTTACTTCTTGGGCAATTTTCCCTATTCACCACTTACTCTTTTCTTTTGTTTCAGTGCTGGCCGACACAAAAATCCAT